ATGACCTGCCCCCCTGGACCTTAGGGATCTGCCCCCTCTCCCCCAGGGTCTATCCCCAAGCTCTGGGGCTGCGGGTGGACCCCTGAGACCTGTCCCCTCCACTTGTCACCACCTGGGACCTTGGCCCACGCAGCTGTGGGGGCCAGGGGCTGGGGGGGGGGGGGGATGCTGGGCTCACCCGGGGCGAGGGGCCGTGCTGCAGGGACCCCCTTCAGCCCCTGCTCCCATCTCGTGTTCCTGGCCCTCCCTGAGCTGTGGCTGGAGCTGGGGGGGGCCTCAGGCCGTGGCATCGGAGCAGCCCTGCGCTGGAGCAGGTCCCCCAAATCACGGGACACCCACACACGTGTTGCCACAACTGCCCCATTGTGTGTACCCCCCACCCCACACTCGTGGGACCCAGCACCCTACGAGGGCAGGACTGAACCCCGCTGGCCCCAAGCAGCGAAACCGCCCAAAAACGGCCCCAGCCTTCGCCCGGCACCTTGTGCAAAATTTGTGCAACCCCCCCAGGGCCGCCTTGCGCCGAGGCCCGGCTGTCTTACGCCATCGTCCGCCGGTTTGCTGGGCCGTTAGTGGAGAGTGGTTGCGGCCACGCTGGTCGGCTGCTGCGGTGGGGGGCTGGCAGCCCCCCTATGAATCCCCCTGGGGGGGTCCTGAAGGGGTTGTGGGTGTTTTGGGGCTGTGCCTTGGGGGTTCCTGATCCTGCTCTGGGACCCGGGAACACCCATGTCGGTGCCGGCGGGAGCACCCTGTGTGCCGAATCCTCCAGCACCGTTAATTCCTTTAATTGCCACCTTTGAAGAGGTGCCGGCAAGGTGCGCCTATCGCCCCGGGGGCCGGGGTTTTGGGTTGGCAGAGCTGGTGCTGCCGTGAGTCACCGCGCAAGGTGCTCGCCTGCCGGGCAGCTGATCGATGCATCGGCCTCATGCTGGGGTCCGGCTGGGCTTGGGGACCCACTGGGGTCACCCCAAAAGCCACCGGGCCGGCACGGCTGTGTCTTGGGGCAAGGTAAGAGGGGGGACCAGGGTGCATGGTGGGGGATACAGTCCCCACCATGCTGCTTCTTGCATAAACCAGTGTCATGTGGGTGCTGCGATGTCGGGGCACGGTGCTGGTGGGTGCTATTGGGGCTGACCCCCCACCCCCCGCTATTTTTGTGTCCCCCTCCTCTCTAAAGGAATCCGCTCTTGGGACATCGACCTCTCTTCTTGCAACTTGGATGAGCAGCTGAAGCTCTTCGTGTCCCGTCACTCAGCCACTTTCTCCAGCATCGTGAAAGGTAAAAGAGGGGGCCATGCAATGCCCCCAGCTGGTATTTAATTTGTGGGGTGTGGGAAACCCTCCCCACTACAGCCGGGGGGGGCGGCAGGGAGGGACTCGCACGGTGGGGGGTGTGCGAGCCCCTCCCCACCGGACCCCTCCCCGCCGCCCCCCCGGCCATTGCGGGAACAGGCTTTGCTTTGTGGGCCCCCCCCCGCTGCCATGGCCAAGCCCTGTGATCCCCCACGTGAGAAACTGCTTCCTTCGCCCGTCCTGGGGCAGGATGTGATTTCCCACGGAAAGAAGGGAAAGAAGATGGAGCCGGGGATGCCGGGGCCGCTCTGGTGCCTGTTCCGTGCTGCGGTGCTTGGTGGGGGGGCATAAGGTGCTCCTCCAGCCTGACCCCCCAGCTTTTTCCTCCCCTCCCTGCAGCAGGAAGGACACGGGAAATGTGTCCTTCAGCTCAGCGGATCCACTGGCCTCCACGGTGTCCGGGATTGGGACAGTGGCTGTCCCTCTTCCGCGGGGGAAGTGGGCAGGCGCTGGCCCTGCTGCCGTGCGTCGTCGTTCCCCCTCCCAATCCCATCCCCATGGGACGAGGCCAAACTGGGGTGCAGCCCCATCATTTTGGGGAGGGCGGGTGTCAGCCCTTGGCTCCCTGCAGGTCAGCGGACCCTCCACCACCGGGGAGATGTGCTGGAGACCCTGGTGCTGCTCAACCCTTCCGACAAGTCCCTGTGTGACGAGGTGAGCTGGAGGGGGGCCGGGGGGCGTGACTGTGGCCCCTTCAGAGCCGCTGGCAGGGGGGTGCCATGACATGGAGCCCATTGGCATCCTCATGTCCCCTCCGTCCTCGTGTCCCTTCCATCCTCAGCTGCGAAACCTCATCACGGATGTGTCGCAGCACAAGCTGCTGGTGTTCGCGGGGCCCTGCGTGGAGGAGACGGGGGAGCTGATGCTGCAGACGGGCTGTTTCTCCCTGCGGGACTTCATCCAGATCTTCACGGACAAGGAGGTGCGGTGCCAGGGACCCCCAGAAAGGAGCTGCCTGCTCCTGCCAGCTCCCAGGCCTGGCTGCTGATGAGCAGGGATGGCGGGGGGGGGGCCGTGGGCCGGCGCTGCCGGAGCGACTGTCTGCTCACGTTCTCCGGCGTCTCGGCAGGGAGCTGGGCATGGCGGCAGCGCGAGCGGGAGGCTGGCCCAGCTGTCTGCTCTGCAGGCAGCCGCGCCGGCACATCCCTCCCGCCACAGGGCTTGGGGAGGCGGGGGGAGATCGGCTGCATCCTGGCCCTGAGCCGCAGCTGGGGGGATGTGTAAATCAGGGACCGGCTCCCCCACCCCGGGCATCATGCTGGTGGCCAGCACCAGGCGTGGGGAGTGGGATGGGCCTGCAGGAGCCCCTGGGGAAGGGGTGCCCTGTGCTTGCCCGGGGCGGGGGCTCGGGCAGGGCACCCCCAGGCTGCCACGTCTCTGGCCCTGGGTGCTCTGTCCCACCTGAAGCTCTGGCTGGCCCTGTCCCCTCGCAGGTAGGGGAGATCCTGAGCTCCGCAGACCCCTCAGCCAAGGCCAGGCTGACCATCAGCTGCCCCGACTTTGGGGAGTGGAGGGACTCGGGTTTGGACCACCACAACCTCCAGGACTTCATCGAGCTGCGCTACAACCCGGGCTGCATCCTGCCGGAGATGGAGGGGCTGGAGGAGTTCATGGAGTACCTCTCGGAGTCGCTGGAGCCCCAGTCCCCCTTTGACCTCCTCGAGCCCCCCACCATGGTCGGCTTCCTCAAACTCTCCAAGCCCTGCTGCTATATCTTCCCGGGCGGGAGAGGGGACTCGGCTTTCTTTGCCGTCAACGGCTTCAACGTTCTGGTCAACGGAGGCTCCAACCCCAAGTCATCCTTTTGGAAGCTGGTCCGGCACCTGGACCGCATCGACTCCATCCTGGTGACACATGCGGGCACAGACAGCCTGCCCGGCGTCAACAGCCTGCTGCAGAGAAAGCTGGCTGAGCTGGAGGAGGATCCGTCCCAAGGCTCGCAGGGCAACGGGGACTGGGCAAAGAACCTCATCTCCCCAGAACTGGGTGTCGTTTTCCTCAACGCCTCCGAGAAGCTGAAGGACATCGAGGGCAACTCCCGGGTGCTGAAGAGCTGCGATGAGGCTGCCCTGACCTTGCACTACCTGGAGAAGTTGGGCATCCGTCCCAACCCGCTGGCCCGGGACAGCGGACCCCGCGCGGAACCCACCGTCCTCTTCCAGAAGATGGGAGTGGGCCGGTTGGACATGTATGTCCTGAACCCCGTGAAAGGCACCAAGGAGCTGGAGTTTCTCCTGCAGCAGTGGTCGGGCAACAGCTACCCCAAGGAGCAGGATTTGCCCCTGCAGTGCCTGACCTCCGTCTGCGCCCTGCTCGTCTGGCACCCCGTCAGCCCCTCGGAGAAGATCATCCGGGTCCTCTTCCCTGGCTGCACCCCCCAGGGCCGCATCCTGGAGGGGCTGGAGAAGGTGAAACACCTGGAGTTCCTCAAGCATCCCGTGGTCACCAAGAATGACTTGAAAGGGCCGTCCGTGCCCCAGCCTGAGAAACCACTCAAGCAAAGGAGGGCAGAGAGCAAGGAGAGCCTGAAGTCGGCATCCAAGCTCAGCTTGGTGGACACCGGGGCACCGGCGCCGAAGGAGAAGGCTCCATCAAAGGTGGAGAGGAAGGACATGAAGGTAGGGACCAAGGAGAAGCCAAAATCCCTGGGGGAGACGGCCAGAGCGGGGTCAGAAGAGGAGAAAGCCAAGGATGCTCGGGCCAAGCTAGACTCTTCGATGGAGAAGCTGAAGGTGGACGCAAAGCCAAAGCCAAGCAAGGAGAAAGCGGTGCCCAAGAAGGAGCCTGTCCCCCGGAAAGAGGAGAAGAAGCCGCTGAAGAAGGACGAGGGGGCCGAGGTGAAGGGGGAGGCCAAGAAGGAGGTGAAGGTGGTGAAGAAGGAGGTGAAGGCTGAGACGCTGCGGAAGGACACGAAGGAGAGCAAGGCAGAGGCCAAGACTTCTGCCAAGACCCTGGTCCGGAAAACGCCGGTCCCAGAGACCCGCAAACTCCCGGCCAAGGCCGGCAGCATCAAGAAACCGCCCCTCAAGAAGGAGCCAGAGAAGCCCAAGGCCAAAACCCCCCGGGAGGCAGGTGGCAGGAAGGAGCCGGGGACATCAGACGGCTCCAAGTCCTCCTCCCCTGAGGACATGCTGCCGGAGGCCGAGCGAGGCCGGGGGGCTGCCTCGCTGGGGGCCAGCGGGAGGAGGAGGAAGGAGGAATCGACGGACGAGGGCATCACCACAGCCGAGAGCGAGCTGGAGCCCTCGCCGCTGGAGAACGGGGGGGCTGGGGAGCCGTCGGGACCTGGGGACTCATCCTGCCTGGAAAATGGTCTGGAGGACCCCGACAGCCCCCAGCGTTTCCGCTACCTGGAGAGCAGCCCTTTGAGAGCCGTCTGTCCCCCCTCGCCCCTGGCCAAGACCCCCAAGAGCGACCGCAGCGTCAACTTCGACCTGACGCCCACCGGGATGCTCAACCACGGCCCCGAGGGCGGCGAGGATGCCTGCGGCAGCTCCGAGGAGAAAACCCTGGAGATGATGTCTCCAGCCAGCTCGGGGCCGGCCAGCGCCGGGCACACTCCCTTCCACCAGTCACCAGTGGACGATGGCACGGAGGAGCCGGGTGCCGGCACCAACCGGGCCCCAAACCCTTGGCCGCCGGCCGGGGGCAAAGCCTCGCAGGACGGCTCCGGCTCCTCGCAGGAGAAGCAGGCGGGCTGCCTCTCCCTCAGCCCCTTCAAGGACGACGTCCCCGACGTGTCCCCCACCATCACCACCCCCTCGCTGCCGGCCGAGGTGGGCTCCCCGCATTCCACCGAGGTGGACGAGTCGCTCTCGGTCTCCTTCGAGCAGGTGCTGCCACCCGTCAGCGAGTCCCCACCGGAGGAGGGCAGGCGGTCCCGGGGGACCGGGGGGACGCCGGAGCCGGAGGCCACCAAAGGCGGGTTGTCGCTGCCGCTGCGGCCGTGCCACCACCCGCCGCGGGCTGACGGTGATGCGGTGACGCGGCCCGGTCGCCGCTCCGACTCACCCCACGATGTGGACCTCTGCTTGGTGTCACCCTGCGAGTTCGAGCATCCCAAATCGGAGCGGTCACCTTCAGCCGCCGCCAGCCCCCGGGAGCTGTCGGACAGCGACCCGTCACAGGAGCTGGTGCAGCGCCGGGGCCGGCCCCGCCAGCCGGTGGGCGAGACACCCCCCACCTCTGTCAGCGAGTCGCTGCCCACCCTCTCCGACTCCGACGTCCCTCCGGCCACCGAGGACTGCCCCTCCATCCTGGCCGACGGGCTGGAGTCAGATGAGGACTCGGAGCAGCCCACCCGCGGCACGGCCAGGGCCCGTGACCCGCTGCCGGCCCCCATGAAGGACCCCTGCCCCATCCCCGCCCAGCCCGGTATCTGCATGGTGGACCCCGAGGCGCTGCCGGCCGAGCAGACCCGCGCCGGGAAGAAGGAGCCCTCCGGCAAGGTGAAGAGGACCCCGTCCCGCGTGGGCTCGGCACCCGCTGCTTCAAGGGCTGAGCCCCCCCGGCACCCCACCTCCACCCCCAAGGCCAGGGGTCCCACCAGCTCGGCCCGTGACGTTGGGGACAAAGCCAGGCTGTCCCTTGGGGACAAGAAGGGACCCTCCGGCGGGGACGCCCGCACCCTGGGGACCACCCGCGGCGCTGGAGCCCGGCCGCTGGCGGGAGCTGGCAGGGCATCGCCGGCAGGTACGGGGATGGGGATGGGATGTGGGCGCTGCCGGCTCCGGTGTCGCCGTGCTAGAGCGGCTCGGAGGCACCGCTGGTGCCGTGCAATGGTTTGGGGGGGGGGGGGGGTTTGGGGGCTGCCGCTCACAGCTCCTGTACTCCTGTGCTGGCAGGCACACGGGCTGCGGCCCCCCCTGGCCCCCCCGTCTACGTGGACCTGGCATACCTGCCCGGCTCCTGGAGCGCCCGGACGGTGGACGAGGAGTTTTTCCGGCGCGTCCGTTCCCTCTGCTATGTGGTCAGCGGTGATGACCACCTGAAGGAGGGCGTCCTGCGGTCCCTCCTCGACGCCCTGCTTGCCGGCAAGCACCAGTGGGGCACCGACATCCAGGTGAGACCCCCACCCTTTGCTCCCCGGATACCCGGAGCAGTGGGATCAGCCCCTTCCCGGTACTGGGGGGTGTGGGGGTGTGGGTCGCGGTGATGCGATGAGGTGGGTGTCTTTGCAGGTGACCTTGATCCCCACCTTTGACTCGCTGGTGATGCACGAGTGGTACCAGGAGACCCACGACCGGCAGCAGGAGCTGGGCATCACGGTGCTGGGCAGCAACAGCACCGTGGCCATGCAGGATGAGACCTTCCCTGCCTGCAAGGTGGAGTTCTGAAAGGGGGGGGGTGGGCTGCGGCGTGGCCTTCATCCCCACCTTCCTCTGCCTCTGTCAGCCCCCCCCTCTCCCTCCCTCCGCACCCGGTGACTCAGGGCTGCGCCAGCCCCCGGCTACTGTGGCTCGGAGGGGAGGGAGAGGGGGTTCTGCTGGGGGGGGGAGATGGGGTCGTTCTCCCCCCCCAGGACTGGCAGGGGCTCTCCGGGGACCCCGAGCCCACAGCACCCACACGCCGCACCCTCACACGCCGCGTGGTTCCCGCATGCCCACGCCGGAGCCGTGCACTCCTCGCTCTGCACCCACCGCCGTCCTGGGGAGGGGGGGAATGGTGAGGGACCAACCGGGGACAGGGTGACCACCCTGCCTTTTGGGGGGGGGCGGGATCTGTCGCCCCCCCCCCTACATCCAGCAGCGGTGCTGAGCCATTTCCCGGGGAGGAGGCAGTGAGCCCCAGCTGTGCTCGATTTAACAGGGTAAATTTTGTTGTTTTGCTGTTCCTACCCCCTCCCTGGACAAGCCACTACTGCCAATCCCCCACCACCCCAGTACCCGCAGCCCTGGCCCTC